TATTATCCAGTCCTCACAATAGCTATGTGAATAAGTTGTTATCCTCCTTTTGCAGATGAGGAAACTGAGGCTCAGAGAGGTTAAGTTACTTTCCCAGAGTCACAGCTAGTCAGTGGTGGAGCCGGCATTCAAGCTCAGGTCTGTCTGATTGTAAAATCCAGGCCTCTTCTGCCGTCCCTGCTGCCTCTCCGGAGTGGGCTGGCGAGGTGGCCCAGGAGGCCGCTGCAGGGCAGGGCACCACCTCTCCCCGTCTCGTTCCCCAGCGTTTCTGGCTGCTCCTCCTGACCCGGGGCCTGGTGGGGGTCGGGGAGGCCAGTTACTCCACCATCGCCCCCACGCTCATCGCTGACCTCTTTGTGGCCGACCAGAGGAGTCGAATGCTCAGCGTGTTCTATTTCGCCATTCCGGTGGGCAGGTGAGGGGGCCCTGGGCCTGGTGGGGAGGCAGATGGGCCTGGCAGGGGAGACTTGACTGACTGGCTGTCCCTTTTTTCCCCCCTCCCCCCACAGTGGTCTGGGTTACATTGCAGGCTCCAAAGTAAAGGATGTGGCTGGGGACTGGCACTGGGCTCTGAGGGTGAGTCTAGTCATGGCCTGGGGCAACCTGCCACGTTCTCACTGATCCCCCTTTCCTACCTTCATACACTCCCTTTTTGAGGCAGTGCTCACTTTGCAGGAAGCTGGCCGCCCTCACCGTGAAGCCATGTGGTAGATAGAACTCTTGCTTGCGGGTGACAGAAACCCATTGTAAGCCCCCAAAAGGGACTGTGTTGGCTTTCTTCATGGAAAGTCCCAGGGTGAGCTTCAGGTAAAGCCGGATCCAGGCTCCCACACCATCACAGGAATTCAATTGCCCTCTTCTTAGCTTTATTTTCCTCTGTGTTAACTTCATTCTCAAGCATGTGAAAGCTCCAAATAATTATCTTCCCATTTAGAAATGTCAGCACCTTGGATCCTTGAGCTGTAGTCCTGGGACGGTGTCTGATTAGATGAGTGTGGCTCACGTGCCTGCTGTGGAATCGGTCATTGAGGCTGGGCTGGGTAGCAGTACTCCCACTGGCCAAGCCTTGAATCCTCCTTGAACCATGTGGATTGAGAGAAGTTAGGGGAGCGGTTTCCCAAACGAAAATTAGGATGCAGTTACCAAAAAGGAAGCAAAGTTAGGCTTACTAAAATAGGGTGGCCCCTAGTAGCAACACCCGCCCATTACAGGTCCAGCTTGTTTGAGCAGCATGTGGATGTTCGAGGTCTTGGGGCCCAAGTTGTCTGTACCCCCTCACTCTCCCCAGCCCCAGGGGTTGTGTCTGCCTGTCCTGAAGCCCACTCTCTCCCCAGGTGACACCAGGTCTCGGAGTGGTGGCTGTTCTGCTGCTTTTCCTGGTAGTACGGGAGCCACCGAGGGGAGCTGTAGAACGCCGCTCAGATTCGCCGCCCCTGAGCCCCACCTCGTGGTGGGCAGATCTGAGGGCTCTGGCAAGAAAGTGAGTTTAGTCCCCTCCTAGACCAACATCTGAGGCCCCCAGGGAGGCCCTGACAGCTGAGATTTCAGTGGGCATGTTCACTGTTTTCTTTTCTGCCAACGGGCCCACCCCAAGACCAGGAATTCAGTCACAACTGCCCCCTTGTGTCAGCTTCTTTAATTACAGGCCCAGGTCCTGGGAGCTAGGATAGCCTTCATGTGGTCCCAGTGTTCTGACCTTACTAAAATAAGCTAGACTGTCCTTTTCTTGGCAGGGAGTAGGCATGTGATCCCACTCCCCATTATGGACAGAGGCAGAGGGGAAGGGCTCCAGCCCCCTCAGGGTTGTGTTGTCAGTGCTGGTGGCTTCCCGTCCGCCGGTTCTATCGTCACGTGCCAGGACCCTGGGCAAGAAAAAGAAAAATAAGCCAGAAAGGAGGAGAGAGGCCCCTCCTGCCTCAATACCTCAGCGGAGTCTGACTTCCGCCCTCGCAACTCTCTGCAGTCCTAGCTTTGTCCTGTCTTCTCTTGGCTTCACTGCTGTGGCCTTTGTTACGGGCTCCCTGGCTCTGTGGGCTCCCGCATTCCTGCTGCGTTCCCGTGTGGTCCTGGGGGAGACCCCACCCTGCCTTCCTGGAGACTCCTGTTCTTCCTCTGACAGGTACCCAGAGGGGGCTGGGCTAGGTGGCCTGTAGGTGGCAGGGGTGGAACGAAGAGGGTCCATGATTCACACCCAGGCACGGACTTCCAATCCCAAGTCCACAAGCTACATCTTCTCCCAGAGTCTGTTTCCTGGTCTGGGAAACACGTAATGGGATGACACCTGCCTCTAGGGGCTGTGTGACCTTGGGGTGCTGTGCTGGGATGGACCCGATTGTGGGGGTGGCTGGGATGGGCTGTCTTCCTCTGCGGGCTGTGGGGGCCAGCCTGGGGGCTGTGCAGGCAGGACTGGCCCCCATACCCCTTCCCCACCCCCTAGTCTCATCTTTGGGCTCATCACCTGCCTGACCGGGATCCTGGGCGTGGGCCTGGGCGTGGAGATCAGCCGCCGCCTGCGCCGCTCCAACCCCCGGGCAGACCCGCTGGTCTGTGCTGCTGGCCTCTTGGGTTCTGCACCCTTCCTCTTCCTGTCCCTCACCTGCGCCCGTGGTAGCATCGTGGCCACCTATGTAAGTAGCCGGCAGGTGACAAGAGGGGTGGTCTGGGTCCTAGGGGGAGGAACAGTGCATCGGGGCAGGACTAGGGTCAGCCAGGCCTGCTTTCGGTGGAATGCCTGCTTTTGAATCACAGCTCTGGCCTTTCCCAGCTGTGTGACACTGGGCAAGCAGCTTAACCTCTCTGTGCTCACTTTTGTTATCTGTGAAATGGGAGTAACAGTAGCACCAGTGTCACAGGGGTGTGGTGATGATTAATGAGTTAATAGAGGAGCCTGGGATGGGTGCACACCCGTGTGTGGCCTTGTTGTGATAAGACCCTACCCACTCCCATCCCCCAGATTTTCATCTTTATTGGAGAGACACTGCTGTCCATGAACTGGGCCATCGTGGCTGATATCCTTCTGGTGAGTAGCTGGGCAGCTCCGTGGTTAGCCTGGAGGCTAGTTCAGGAGACCTCACCCGCTCTAGACCGTGGCTTCCACCCTCCTCAAAACCCAGCCCCCGCTGACTGCAGGCTCCAGCCCACAGCCCTGGCCTGCCCTGTGACCTCGTCCTTGGTCACACCTCTGACCCCAGCCTTGGCCCTGACCTGGTCCCCTGCCCCTGCTCTTGAGAGCCCCATTGAGCTCCTCCCCCTAGTATGTGGTGATCCCCACGCGACGGTCCACCGCCGAGGCCTTCCAGATCGTGCTGTCCCACCTGCTGGGTGACGCTGGGAGCCCCTACCTCATTGGCCTGGTGAGCACTGCCCCTTGGCTGGGATGGGGTGGGGAGTAGGGGACCTGGCACGGGCACTCCTGCCACTGGCGGGTGGCCTGAGCCTGGCGAAATTGGAAGCTCCTTTTAGGCCCCTGTGCTCACCTTCCGTCCTTAGCTAGAGGGGAAGGATTTTGTCTTGGAAGATTCCACCCGTGAGGCCAGGGAGGACCTCACCTTGGCAGTCCAAACTGTCTTCCCTTCTCCAGGCTCCATTGGAGTTTGGGGGCTCCTCCCTGGGTCTCTCCCTGACTCTCCTGCCCCTGTCCTCCTGCAGATCTCTGACCGCCTGCGCCGGGGCTGGCCCCCCTCCTTCTTGTCCGAGTTCCGGGCCCTGCAGTTCTCTCTCATGCTCTGCGCCTTCGTCGGGGCGCTGGGCGGTGCTGCCTTCCTGGGCACCGCCATCTTCATTGAGGGTGACCGCCACCGGGCCCAGCTGCACGTGCAGGGTCAGTTGGAGGCCGCACCCTGCCCAGCTGCTTGGTGCTGCCTGTCTGTCCATCTGTGTCCCTCAGTCCACAGTTTTCCCTTTATTCAGCTTTGGGCCTGTCCGGGTCCACAGCTCTGGTGCTCTCTGCTGCTGCCCCGTCTGTGTTCCAGCATCTGTTTGTCCCTGCTCTGGCTTTGTGTCTGTCCATCCAGCCCTGGCTCTGACCCTTCCCCCGTAGGTCTGCTGCCCGAGGCAGGGCCCGCGGATGACCAGATCGTGGTGCCCCAGCGAGGCCGCTCCACCCGGGTCCCTGTGTCCAGTGTACTCATCTGAGAGGTCGTTGGATACCTGTGTGTACATCTGTCAGCAGTGGCCCAGGACTTGCCCCACGGGGTACATGGACCTAAACATTTGGCCTGGCCCGGCTTCCAGGAGGGACCGTGGGCCACGTCTCAGCTCCCAGACACTACATGGGCAGCCCAAGGGAGGAGGCGGGGGTCCAGGAGCAGAATCCCCTCCACAGGGGCAACCCCAGGGGCTCGGTGCTATTTGTAATGAAATAAAATTTGTAGCCAGACCCCAAGAGCCTGCTCAAGTCTTTCCCTGGGTGCTGGTGACCTCTGACCTCTGGACTGTAGGGGATGCTCTGTCTCCACCCCAGGGTTTCCGGGGACTATTGGGTCTCATCTGTGGGGCCTTGGGTGAGTCTCTGCCCTTCTGGGCTGGGTGATCAAGAGGGAGGACTGCTGTCCGCTGAGCTGGCTCGGTGTGACCGTGAGTCATGCCCGTGCTTCCCCGGAGCCTGCCCCGGTGGCACGCAGGCCTCAGGGAGGTGGGGGTGGGCACGACCCTCTGCACCTCACAATTCCCACTGCCAGAGCCTCTCGGCTTGCTGCCTCCCCAGCCCATGGAGGTGGAGGCCACAGCTGCTGGCCAGCCTGTGAGGGTCTCTCCTCCTCCCACTGTGTCGTGAATTGTCCCTTGTCCTGGAGGCCAGCACACCCTCTTGAGAACCTGGGGGTGGCTCCTTGGGCCTCCCCCACCCCCTCCCCACGGGCTGGGTGGGGGTGGGAAGGGGCGGGCGCAGCCAGCTGAGGAGCCCGATGATTTCCTGCCCTCACCCAGCGCTCACCACAGCTTCCTGCCTCAGGCGGAGGGGAGGCAGGCGCCAACGAGGGGCAGGTACGGCTGGGGTGCGGGGACCGAGCAGCAGGTGGCTGGAGCCCCGGACTCCAGCCCAGGCCCTGGCCTGACTGCTCTGGGACCAAGGGCTCCCAGAGCCAGCGCTGACCCCACTCAGCCCATCTAGGGAGGGGGTCCAGGGACCCCAAGGAGGAGCAGCTGCCTCCCTGCGGCACCCCAGCCTGCTGCCTCCCTGGCGCCTGCGCCCCACTGGGCCCAGTCCTCTCCCTGCTGTGGCTCTTCCCTTGAGGGGCCTGTGGGGTGCAGCCAGTCTGGTCGGAGCTCTCCCCTGCAGATGGAGGGGGCCGTCCTGGTCCCCTACGTGCTGGGCCTGCTGCTGCTGCCGCTCCTGGCCGTGCTGCTGCTGGCCCTGTGTGTGCGCTGCCGCAAGTTGCCAGGTGAGAGGGGAGCTGGTGGTACCCTGGATGTTAGGGCCCACTGACGGGGCCCTCACCCACTCCCCTTTGTCCACCCAACGCTGTCCCTGCCCGTCCTGCTCCCAGGGACTCAGAGCCCCCTGGGCTCTAGCAGGCTTTCCCCACAGCACCCCCTTCCTGCCTCACCAGCCATCTCTTTCCCAGACTCGTATGACAGCGCGTCCTCAGATGGGTGAGTCTGCCCTGTCCCTCAACACCCGGTGGTGGGGCGGGGTTGGGGCCTCTCTTGACCGCATACCCAAGCTGTGTCTCTCCCACCAGTTTGTACCCAAGGAGCATCCTGATCAAACCGTCTTGTGAGTATATGGAGGGTCCCCCACCTTGGGTGTAGGGGACCCCTGGCATGTGAGCGGGTGTGCACCTTTGTTCGGCCCCCTGGGACTGTCCACGTGGCCCTGAGCTGGGCTGGGGGCAGATGGGAACCCCTAGGTGTGTCCAGGGCACAGGGGTTTCAGGGGGTTAGTCTGCCCTTCGAGGCCTTGACCAGGGTAGGGGCAGGATGCCTGGAGTCCTTCCTTCAAGCTTGGTTCTGTGTCCTCAGACACGCCCGCTCCCTGGCCACCCGCCACCTCCTACCCGCCTGGCACCTCTTACCTACCTCCGAGCCAGCCGGATCTGGTCCCCATCCCGTGAGTAGCCCCCGAACTCCTTCCCCTCCAGCTCCCAATCTATCCCCTTACCTCCGATTGGGGGCTTCCTTCCCTGTTGCAACTCCTCTTGCCCCCCCCCGAGCCCCACCCAATGCATGACCCTTGACCTTTGACTCCCAGAAGATCTCCTCAGCCTCCCGGAGGCTCTCATCGGATGCCGTCTTCCCGGCAGGATTCAGATGGTGGTAAGGGTCCCATGTGGAGAGGGTCTCTGAGGGCTGGGGCTGGGTGGAAGATGGGCCCCCCCCGCCTGAGCTGACTCAGTTTCCCTCTCGCTCTCTCCCGGAAGCCAACAGCGTGGCGAGCTACGAGAACGAGGGTGCGTCCGGGACCCTGGGTGCCCAGGCGGGGTGGGGAGGCTGGGGCCTGTCCCAGATTAGGTGACCCCTATATTGTTACCCCCAGAGCCACCCCGTGAGGACGCGGATGAGAACGAGGACGAGGACGACTACCACAACAACGAGGGCTACCTGTGAGTGGCCAGGTGGGAGGTGGGTTTGAGGCCAGCCAGGGTCCTCGCTCACCTGCCTGTTACTTCCTTGCAGGGTGGTGCTTCCTGACAGCACCCCGGCTGCCAGCACTGCTGCAGCTCCCGCGCCCAGCAAGCCCGGCCTCCGAGACAGCGCCTTCTCCAGTGAGTCCGGCGTTCCTGGCCCCCGCCACCTTGTGCGACTTGGGCTCCTTACTCTTCTCTCTCCTGCGATGTCTTTGATGCCTGCTACACTTCTGTCCTCTTGGATCTCCCTTTCGGGAATTGCTATCCTTCACATATTGGGCTTCCTGCTCTGCTCCTCTGATGTTCTTACTTTTTCTCTTCCCTTTCCTCTTTCTTTGTCTTTTCCATTTACTCTCTAAGAGATTTTCCTGACTTGATTCTTCAACCCTCCTACTGAAATTTCATTTCTCCTGTCCAAAAGCTCTTTCTTGGTCTCCACATGTTCCTTTTTCATAGCCTCCTGTTCTTGTTTCATGGAGGCCATATCATCTTACAAATCTCCAAGGAATTTAATTAGAAGCTCTGTGTGTGTGTGTGTGTGTGTGTGTGTAAGTTTTCTTCTGCTTCCTGCGTTGTCTCAGTTTCCTTTGAGCTGCTTTTCTGCCTTCGTTATGGTGCCATTCGCCTGGTCTCATCCTCTGGGCTTGCCTTGATGTCTGGGGGTCCTGTTTTCTGTTGTTTTCTCCTCTCTCTATATACCTGTTCTGGGCTATCCCTTCCACACGCTGGCTTCATTTGTCATCCAGATACCCAATTTGCCATCTCTCTCCTGAGCTCCAGAGTGTCTGTCCACGTTTCTTTTTCATGCTTGCATTCATTCATTCATTCATTCATTCATTCACTTACCGGGTGCCTCTGCTGGGCTGATACCAGGGACATAACGGTTAACAAGGCCGGCTGTAGTGATAGCATTCATTGAGGGTCTCCTCCCTGCCCCGCTAAGAGTTTTATGTGTGTTAATTTATTAAACTTAGTGGTTCCCAGGTGCTCTTGGGCCTGCTGCTGCCCCTGCAGTGCTCAGTTGTCCCCTCTGTGTGATGGCTGCGGGTTATTTGTTTAACAGACACTTGGCAGCACCGACCAGGTGACAGGCACGTTTTACTATTCTCTGCTGTAATCCTCATGACAATCCCATGAATCGGGGACTGTTGCTAGCCCCATTTTACAGATGAGAAAGCTGAGGCACAGAGAGCTTAGGTCACTTGTCTGAGGTGACATGGTTGGTTGGTGCTGGAACTGGGGTGGTCTGGCTCTAAAGCCCGCCATGTCCACGTGCACATGCAGAAACAAGGTGACGCAGAAAAGAACCAAATAATGTAGACAGTGCTAGGTGCCACAAGGGCTACGAAAGGATGGGCTAGGCAGTGGCTGGCGGGTAGGGAGCAGGGGCCAGGGCAGGAGGCACCTGCTGGGCCGAGTGTGTCCTCTCCCTCCACACATGCCAGCAAACTCCTGTGGCCCTGAGCTGCCCTCCGTCCCTGCTCCCCTGCCTGGGATCCGTGCCAGGGTCTGCCATCTTGTGATCCTCCTGCTCCCCCATGATTCCCTTCGCTGTAGCCGGCCCTGGTGAGGCGGGCCTCCCCTCTCTGTCTGCACACCCGCGTTCTCGTCCAGCCACCATCACTGCCAGTCTACAGTGCTCTCGCTGCATCCTGGGGGACTGATGGGGGTGTCTGCCCTTGGAGAGCCCTGGACACCTGAGGTTGGGGGGTCTCTGGGAGTCTGTGGCTGAGGGTCTCTGGTAACGGTGCTGGGGTCGGGTGGGTGCTGTGGCTTTCCTGCAGTGGAGTCCAGTGAGGATTACGTGAACGTCCCTGAGAGCGAGGAGAGCGGGGAAGCATCTCTGGGTGAGTGGCCAGCGCTCCCGATGCCTGCCCTGAACCCCTCTGCCCTGCTCCACTCTCGGTGTGGTCTGACCCCACCCTGGGACAGCCACACCCCTATCCCTCTGTCTGGGGGTCCTCCTACCTTCTCCCCCTCAGTGTGGCCTGCCCCTTTGTGTGGCCACCTCTTCGTCTGACCTGTCCCCACAGATGGCAGCCGGGAGTATGTGAATGTGTCCCAGGAGCTGCCGCCAGTGGCCAGGACCGAGCCTGGTGTGTGGGGTGAGGGGAGCGGAAGCTGGGGGAGCTGCCTTGGGCCTGGGGGGATGGCCTGCAAGCTAGAGACCAGCCTCCCCTCCCCTTGTAGCGATCCTGAACTCCCAGGAGATGGAGGATGAGGAGGAAGAGGGAGCTCCAGATTATGAGAATCTGCAAGAGCTTAACTGAGGCCTGGTGAGAAGCCCTCCCTGCCCCAGCCCTCCCTGGGCCTGCAGGCTCTTCTCTCCCCCTGGAGGACTCCCCTCCCGACCGCTGCCCACCACCTGAGGCCCACCCTCTGTGACGCTGGGTACCTTGCTGGCACCACTGACCTGACCCCAGGACCCCTGCCTTTCTTCCCTGCCCTGTTGTGTTTCAGTGTGAGGCCGTGTCTGTCCTGGAACCAGCCTTGCCTGGGAGGGCTGAGCTGGGCAGCTGGAAGTGGCTCTGGGGTGCCCCACTTGGTGCCCTGCCCTGGCTCCAGCCTGACAACAGTTTGAAAATTTCTCCCCTAACTTATTGTCACTTTGGGGTGCACTCTGTGTCCCCCCAGCAACTCTGCACCTTCTGACGCAGCCTGAGAATGAACTACCCTGGCCCCAGCCCTATTGTAATAGAATAAAGGCCGGTGTGGTCTGTACTGCTCTTGGCTTTGGGGAGCCCGTGGGTCAGACTGGGCCTGTGGGCCCGTGTGTGTCTGTGTTGAGTGTCCATGTTGAGCATGTCTGTGCTAGTCTGACCCAGGGAGCATCGGATCTGTGTGTGTGTGTATCTGTGTGTGTCCATCCTCCACGGGGGACCCGTCCTCCTGACGGCCCTGGCATGTGAGTGGCAGCAGACAGTGGCTGGGACGCTCACCTGAGCGAGGCCTTCTGACTCAGGCTGGCACTGCTGGGGCTCAGAATGCATCTCCCCATGAGCTAGCCCATGGGAGTGGCAGCCACTGGCTGTGACGATGGCAGTGTGGGGTGCGGGGGAACCCTGGGTGGGGAGCGGGTGTTACCAGCAACACCCTTCCCCGCTGGCCCTTGGTTTCTCCATCCTTAGATCGAGGGACTGGACCTGGTGACCTCAAAGGTTCTTACCTTTTGTGGTTCTCAATAAAATAGAACTTAAAAATTGCCTGAGTAACTAAAAAAGCTAGCGTGCAGCACAGCACTTTCAGACTTTGATGTGCAGGTGACTCACCTGCGGTCTTGCTGCGCTGCAGGTTCTGACTCAGTAGGTCTGGGCTGGGGCCTGGGACTTTGCAGCTCTGAGGCGCTCCCAGGTGATTCCGATGCTGCTGTTCCATGAAGCCCACCTTGAGCAGCGAGGGTGATGGGCACCTGTCGTTTTCACTGCATCCACTGCTTTCCCAGTCTCCTTCCGTGTGGCCATGGAGATTGGCGGTGAGCATGTGACCCAGACCTGTCCCCTGGCCACCCTGACCGGCGCAGGTGTGGGCAGGTGGCGCCACTTGAGCAGGGGAGGGGCAGCCCAGGGATCTGGGCGGGGAGTGTTAAGGGGAGAAGCCCTTTTTGTTCCTGGCAGTTGTTAAGCTGGGCAGAGGCTGGCGTGGAGGAGAGAATGGCCCAGAGATGGACGGGGCCAGACTCCTGACGGTGTCATTAGAACGCCTGGATCTGGTCACACCTGAAGCAAGACACTTGCTCCCCCGACTTCCCAGTTCCTTGGGCCAATAAATTACGGTTTTATTCAACTGGGTTGACTTGGGGTTTCTGTCACTACAACCGAAGTTGTTCTGGTTGATGTGCCAAGTTGTTGGCAATTCTCTGTGGACGCCAAAGGTAATAATAGCAGCTTCTCCCCGTGGGGCACCTGGTGCCTATCTGTGATTATCTTATTGAATCGTCGGGCCTCCTGTTGTCAGTCGTTGTTAGTGTCCCCGCTTCGCAGGTGCAGGTTCAAGGGACAGGGAGCCTGGTGGATGCGGGTGGTGACTTTCCCTGAGGTGCTCATTTGTATGTCTTGGACTTAGAGAGGGGATGTGGCTTTGCTTCCATCAGTCGATGAACCACAGACAGAGCCGTCAATGCAGCGGGACCTCTGGGACCGGAGTTGGGGGGTCTTTGCACATTGGGGTGGTCAGTGGCAGAATCACTACAGATGGAAGCTGGGGAGCAGACATAGGTGAGGAAACAGGCTCAGAGAGGCAAAGTGACTTGCCCAAAGGCACACAGTTTAAGAGGTAAGTCTGGGATTAGATCTGTGGCTTTTGGCCCCCAGGGCCACTGTCGCTGTGACCAGTGGTCTCCTTGTCCCGGTTATTGTACAAAGTACCAGCTGCCTTGAACAGGGAATCTCAGAAGAGGTCCATTTGAGGAAGACAGTGCAGGAGGGTCTGGGAAAGGAACCAACAGGTGGAGTTAAATCCTTTTCTTTGGGGGCAACAGAAATGAGCAGAAGCCCCTTTGTGCTGGGCTGAAGGACAAAGAACAGTTTCCCAACAGGGTATGTGGCACAACCAATCTAGCAACATCTAGTAAAGCTAAAGATGGGTGCATGTCCCTCTGGCTAGCAAATTCCTGGGTATAAACCCTGACCCACTGTATCACATGGGCTAAAGAGGCAGGTACATGCAGGCTCGGGGCAGCATTGTAACGGCTACAGCTGGGAACAACTGAGACATCTGTGGCTGTAGAGTGGACAGACAGGCAGAGTATAGCCACACGGCAGGCGCTCAGCTGCAGACAGAACAAGTGAAGAAGGGGCAAGGCCCAGCAACACGGATGGATGTGACCAACAGAAGGTGGAGTGAGACAGCAAAGCGAGTCATGTACATGAAATCGTGTACGAACGATATCAATTGTTCAGGGATATGCGTTTACCTAAAAGCATCAAGATAGGTGTAGAAGTGAGGAGTACCAAACTCAGGACAGTGGTCACCTGGGGAGGAGTTCAAGGAGGGCTCCACGAGATGTGCAATGTCTTATTCTTGAGTGAGGGAGGGGGACACAAGTGTTTGACACATTATTTTTTCAGTATTTGCAGATCTGAATGGTTTCGTGACAACTAAGAGATCAAAGCCCGAGGAGAGAATGGATGAGGGTGGTAGGGTGTGGCATAAACAGCATTAGGAGACAGTGAACAATGGGCCAAGAGTCACTAGCTGGTTTGTGCCCAGTGGATGGAGTTGCACGTGGTACTCCAGGCCTTAGGAAAGACATGTGCAAAGGCCCTGGGGTGTGTTTGAGGAACTGAAAGAAATTCCATGTTGTGGGATTGGAGACGGCACAGAGAGGTGAGAGGGGGTGGAGATGGGGGCTGAGCAGTCATATCCTGAGACACAGGAGCCACCCTTGGAGGCTTTGGAGCAGAGAATCATGTGAGCAGATTTGTGTTTTAGCAAATATCTCTGGGTTGGCTAATGGGGAAGGTGGATGCTGAGGGCTGTTAGACCAGAAGCAGGGAGGCTGTGAGGAGGCTACTGGGACAAGCCACTTGGGAAATGGTGGTGGGACAGCCAAAGAAGTGGCAGGGCCATGGAGAGAGGTGGGAGAATTAGGAGATGTTTGGGAGGTAGAGTCAAGGGACCATCGTGTGCTGTGAGGCACAGGAGGGCCCAGGGTGACTCTGGTCCTTGTCTTGGTGGATGGGGATGGGGACCTTCCCTGAGGCACTAAGCAGCTTCTAATTTGTGTGTCTTGGACCTAGAGAGGGTTGTGGCTTTGCTTCCCTCAGCCAACAAACAAACCATGGACAGACAGAGCCATCATGGGATGGACTTGGGCTGGAGCTGGGGGTTCTTAACACTCTGGGGTGGTCAGTGGGGAGAATCCCTACAGGTGGAAGCTGGGGAGCATAAATAGATTTTTCTTGAATTCTGGTGTTCTAGAAAAGGTAGATTTAGTGACAAGTGTGAGAGAGAACATTTTTCTGGAATTGCTTGGGGAGACATCTGGATGCTTGTAAAAGCTACAAGGAGGTAGCAGCTCTCTTGATTTGGGTTCTCCCAGAAGCAGACCTTGAAATGCGGGTTCTAGTGCAAGTGGTTTATTTGGGAAGTGGTCCCAGAAAACACTGGCTGGGGAGCGGGGAAGTGAGACAGGAAATTCTCTGGTACCACTGTGGGCACCTGCAGCTCAGGCCTGCGAAAACACAGGGAACCAGTCTGGGGTTGTCCTGTCTGGGGGAGGGAGCTGGGGTATTTATACGTCCCCTCCCAGAAGTCACTGGCTGAGGGCTGCTCCTGAGGGGTGTTAATTCTCCAGAACTTCCAGCCTGCTCCTCAGACGGGCACAGTGGGCTCTGGTGCCCAGGGCAAGCCCTTGGGCAAAGGAAGGCAGAGGCTGGCGGCCGAGGCCCGTGGGAACCGAATTGGTGACGGGGCAGGCCTGTGGGTGAGGCAGCCACAGCGAATGCTGCAGTAGCCTGGGTTCTTTGTGGTGGCGAGCGCCATTTTCCCCAAAATGTGTGGCCCCTGAGTCCTGTGAGAAGCTTCTCAAGAAAGGCGTCTGCAGTCTGAAGAGTCTGGGAGAAGTGACGTGCTAGAATACCCCCTTGCAGAGTCAAAATGCCCAGTGATAAGGTAACGGCTCTGAGCAATCTGTGATGAATATCTTTATTTCTCTTTGCCTAACCTAGTATCTCCCTAATTTTTTTTTTCAATCAGAAATCTTTTATTGTCAGTCACATATCAGCAGGTAGTACCTCCCAAATTTATTGGACTTCAGAACCTTTTAAAAATGTTATTCTTAGCATTTTGCAGACCCCCTTTGACATCTAGAGAGGACATCTTTTGTTTTTGCCTTCCCGGCAGCCATTCCTCCTTCCAATGATGCCGTCCAGGTTTCCTCCTGGAAATGTTTACGTCACTCAGGTGGAACTGACTTCTTAGATGTGCATGTGACCTGGGATGGGCCAATCATCATATCCCACTCCCTGGCCACAATCATTGGTTGATTCAGGGGCACATGACCCCATCCAGGCCAATCAGACATGTTTCTGAGCCTTGTGGTGGAACTATTGGGAGAGAAAAGCTCTTCATCCTCTGGGGTTGCCCAGGCGGGAGGACAGAGGGGAGGAGCTCTGGCAGGCGTCCACCTGGAGAGAGCCGGCCTGAGAATGAAGGCACCGCGGAGGACAGCAGAGTCAGAAATGGACAATTGTGTCCCCATGGCAGGTCTAGCCCTGGATCCAGTGTGCCTGAGGCCATTACTCCTAGATGAGACCATCAAATGCCACCTCCCCTCCTTAGGCCAATTCGAGCCAGATTTTCTGTCACTTGCAGAAAAACATTCCTAAATGACAACCACGGCTGCTGTCGTTTCCACCAAATCATAATCACAATCCCTGGCGGCCAATCTAAGAAACTTCCAGACTGACTTTTTTCCTCCTTCTGCACCTCTGCTTACTGTGCCCGAGAGACACGCGGACATTTTCCTCCAGGTTTCACCGTCTCACCTGATCCATGCTACGGCAGGGAACTTTCTCTTCCATGCTCGCGTGCGTCCCACGCACCCCCTCAATCCCCTCTGGGAGATCTCCACGCTTCCCTTACTCTTGTTTTCTGTATTTGGTTTTATTAGTCTCAGAGATGGCAAGAAATGATTCCAAAAAGAGGACCACATCTGGCGGCAGGGCGCCGAAATGCAAGTCACGAGACGTAAAGAGTTAGTCCCAACTCTGCC